TTTATTACTGCATACCAAACACACAGCACATTAGAAATGAAAAGCAGTCATTTACCATATTTTCTATTCCAAGTCCATTTCAGACTTCCCACACTAGCTAAAGGAATGTACAAATGATTTCAATTCACGTTAATATAAACTTAGTGTTTTCGAAAGCAAACTTTCTCCAGTCTTAGAATCAAATTTTTTAAAAGCTGAATTGACTTTAGTGTGCTTAATTCACTCAGCTCAATTTGCTTAGCCCAATGAGAAACCTAAGTCCTAACTGAACGCTACACAGAAACACTTCACAATAAAATCCCATTTGTTTGTTTGCATGAAATGAAGAGAGAGATGATTTGGAGCAGAGACATGAAAAAAGAGCAGCTGGTAAAGCCTTTGGCTGCCCAGCATTTCTTCATTCCAAATCCTGGATTGGATCTAAGATCTTTCCTCCCTATGCAAAAAGAGCATGACTTCACATCCTCTCCTTCCCTGCTGCTGCCCCTTAGCACCTCCAAAGGAAATCTGAAGGCAGGGCAGGGTGGGAGAACAGAGGAGGGTGCAGATACTTCTCTCTTGCCAGCAGCATATTCCATAAGAGGCATGACCCAGCCCCAATTCTGCACGCTGGTTTCCAAATGGGGGCTTGTAAGCCTAAAGCATGCCCCTGGATGTTGCAAGGGTACTGTGGCTGGGGTACAGGGAGAGGAAAAGGGCTGAATATACAAGCAGCCTCCATTTTTTAAAATGTACATGTGTAACTTTTAGTTATACCAATGGTTACACCATTAAAGCAGGGATGTGTAATCCTCAGCATCCCCCTCAAAAGGCCATGTCCTCATCATTCATCAGCTAATCCACTTGCTCATTTCTCACCTGTTTGCTTGCTTTACTTCTGGACCATGTCCCCCGACCCCCAGCATTTTCCACACACATTCAGCCTAGGCACTTCACAGCAGCCAAGCTGCAGGCACCACTGCTGCCGACGTACCTCTGAGATGATGCTGTAACAGCATTCTCAGAAGGTCCTCAGCCTGTTAGCTAGAAGTCTTCTAACACCCATTCTGGCAGCTGCTGTTCGACCATTCTGTGACTGCTGTCCTCAGAACCAGGAGCCAGGAACCAGAATGTCTGCCTGAGAACAAGCTGGCTGCCACACTGAGCACCCTCTCAGAGTGCTGACAGAGGATCTTCCCAGAGGCAGATCAGCAATGCCAGCAGCAAGTCTGGCAATAGGGTGTCCCAGTCCAGGATCTTTACCCTTTCTTCTTAGTCTATGAGGTTCTTGAGTTAAAGGACAATGGAGTGGGCTCAATTACAGAAGAAAGTTAGGTTAGGTAAGACCTAGCTCTCCTGGAAGGCTCCAGGGACCAGATGTCCTGCGTTCAGAGGTGTGGTCGTACTGCCAGCCTTAAATTCTGAGGACCCTAGCCATGAAGATACCACCTTGCTGCAGCCTAAGGCTCTGCAAAAGACTGGGCTTCTTTAAGCAAATAGGGAAGTAATGCAGAGCTTAACTCATCTGGTAACTTGGACTTACAGAGCCTGTCTCCACCTAAGTTCCAGAGATTCTACTTCTCTTCCACCACAGCCTACCCTATACAGCAAGGTCCCTGACCCTCTGTGTAGCTAAGAGATGCTGAAGAGCACCATGGGGGGGAGGCACTGGGGAAGTCTGCCTCTAACCATCCCACCTGCATGCACCTAAAGCAGGATTCAACTCGAAACAGAAAAGAGATTACTGCTTGTAGGAACCCACTACCATGATAAGAAAAGAAACCCTATTTATTTTATTTCCTGCTTTTATTTTCCCTCCTTTTAATAACTCCATTACTTTAAATATAATGGAGGGGATGAGAGGTGTGCAGAGGAGAATTTGACAGAATGCTTCATCAAAGGAAAAAAGGGAAATGTTGAAATAAGCTATTAATAAAACAAGGTAGTTTCCTCGGACTGAAGCCTGGAAATTATTCCTACAATTCTGACTTGCTCAAGAATCATGTTCCATTATCAAGTTCCACTGATATTACTGTAACCAGTAATTAACTTTTAAATAGATGGATGCTCACACTGAACCTAGGGCTAAAAAAAACAAAACCCCAACCCTGACAGAACACTGCTATTTAGTTTTCATGCTAAATATTTGGATTTTGCACACCAGAAAGGAACCAAACAATGAGAAGTCATAAAGAGTGTGTTGCAAACTAAAGATAAAGGAAAGGTTGGTTTTGGGGGAGGGGCTACTGTAATTCAACACAGTATTAATTTATTCAGAAAGATCTGCTGGAGCTTGCAGGAATATTTGCAGAAATTCAGCCCAGTGGAAAGTCACTGATATACTAAAGGCTTTCAGCCGCCTTCCCCATTCATGCCCTTTGCAGGCTGCCCTTCTGAAGTTGGCTTTGTTGGGCGAGAGAACTCCAAAGTAGAGAAAAATGATGAGAATAAGATACGGGGGCTAGAGGGGAAAAGTAAATGTCTAACAAGCAGTTGATCGCCCCAGTGGTGCCCCGCTCTGAAACAGTGCTGAGTGCATTTTCACTGAGTGTTTTGGTATGATTTGGGATGTAATCAGAGTGCAACCCAACAGAGAGCAATACAAAAGTCCAGTGAGAAACAAAAATTAGAATTTACAATACTCTCCCCTGCCAACACACAAAATAAAGGATAGGTTTCCATCCATTTGGAAAAAAAGGTGTGAGAGCAATAGACAGGGAGATTTGCTATAGAACGTCAACAAGAAATATGATCAGAGGTATTCCCCAGTACAACAGCTGCCGAGCAGCATTTAACACGGCAACATTTGTCAGAAGCTATGTAACACAGAAACAAAAGATCTATCTTGGGAGTGATTTTAGATAAAATGCTGTGTCTTTGGAATAATGCAGAAAAATAGAAGAACTCTCTGACAGGGGTTGCACAATATGATATCCCAACTTAAGTAACTTGCCACAGTGGGTTGTCATGTTGTTATAGCAGTTTCTGTAGGGTGGCATATTTTGGGGAAACAAGCCACCATGAGAACCCAAGGAACGTTCTAGGGGTTGTTCAACCCACCTTGGGTTGTCACATCATCCAAACCCACAAGGGTGCATCTTGAGTTGCAAGGTGAGGCTAGCAAGTAAGTTGGTGAAAACCTCCTGCTGTTCTTTGCAAAAAATTGCAAAATTTCCTCTCCATTTACTTCCCAGACTTGAAATCTGCATACACTTCCCCATAAGAAGCACACATTTTCCAGATAGCTTTAAAACAAGATTTTAAAAAAATGCAATGGACCACATGTGACACCCCCATGCAGTTCCATGCATTCCATTCTATTTGACTACTTTGTGGGGGGGGGGGCAGTTTGACAGCTGTCTGAAAAGGAACCACAAAAACAGGTGGTCTTTAGATCTCCCCTTTCTGGACTATCTGGCAGTGCAAGAAAGTGTTGAAAAGTTGAAGGCACCAAGAAGCATCAGTCCAGCACCAGAAATGAAAGATGATTACATTGGTATGAGGAAGATCTTTTATCCACCCCACCATCTCTGCCAGCTTTTTTCCAACTGACAGCTAACCAAGTGACAACTGTCACTATTCATAATTTAGCCTATAGGCAGCCTTACCTTCTCAATTTGTTAGCACTTGGCATTGACCAGGCAAGACAACATATCAGAAAACCATAAAAGTGCACTTTCAAAACTACAAACGACTGATAGTCCCCCCACACACCCTACATACAAAGACATTTTGATACATGTCTGGGGCCATTTTTTAAGCTGACAAACCATCCGCAGTTGCTCCAAACTGCTGCCTGGGCTGGTGGAGGATGTGTCACTGCCTATCCTTGGTGCCAACACGAGGGGGATAATGAAGCAAGGCAAGGGGCTTGTGCTGCTTTTGCTGAGTGGCCTGCTAGTTGATCCATGCAACCTGTGCTGAAATGGCTTTGCTGGGTTCCAGATGGCATGGCAGCCCAATGCAGATCAAAGAACCCCTCTGCTCTGGCTACTGACCCATAACAGGTTGCCATGTCACTAGGATACTCAACAATTATTTTCTCAGCTGCAGTGACAACTCTGAGGTTTCCTGCCCACCTATCTCAGCCTTTCAGTGCTAGTACCCCTGTGCAAGGGAAAAGTAGTGCAGTAATTTCTTGTAGATTAAAAAGAGCGCTACACAGCCATAGCAGCCACCATTTCTAGTCAGGGGAATCCTGCAAATATCTTCCTCATAATCATAAGAAGGGCTGTGGGGATTCCTGGGACTCCTACCACCAAGTCCTATAGGACCAGAGACAACTACATTTGCTCTAGGGTGGTCCTTCCTGTTCTGGGAAAAATACAGTAGTACTGGGTTAGTAGCTGCATATGGAGGCATTTGGCTGTGCAGGCAGAGCTAGATGTTCCCACTTTTCTCCTTGCCCCAGATATACTGAAATTTGGATCTTGCTTCACATGTCTAAATGCTATATTTCAGGGTGGAGTTGTGAAGATCTGAGGTTTTGTCCTGTTTTCCTCCCCACCACATCAAACATGGTTTCTTTTTATGTTTTGAATGTGTTTTCAACTGAAACAATTTACCAAGAGCATATCAAGGCTGTGAAAACCATGAGTCATTAGCAGGGAAGTATCAACACTTTTTTTGTTGCCCCAGTAGATACACTGGCACATGATTTGAAGGAAGGCAACTTAATGGCAGCAAGCATAAAGAAAGGATGCTATGACAGGTTTTATTTTCAGAATATTTGTTACAGTGATTTCAAGAATATTCAATTTCCTTTTAAGATTAAGTTAAATAAAATTCTTAATTTATCCAATTGTGATAGGCAATTTAAACAAAAGGTGAATTGTCACACAATGCATTGCCCAGGAGTACAATTCCCACTGCTACCCCTGAAAAAAATATTCTGAAGAACACTTATATAAAATAACTGTTGCATTCATACCTGAGTTAAAAAACCCCTTTCTGACTGAACTTATGAGTCAAAGAAAATCAACCAATTCTTACTTAGATGAAGGATTAATGTAACCTCTTACCTCAATTGTTGGTGGATCTTTTCTTTTTTTCCTAATCCAAGCTGCAAAAACATTTTAAAAAGAAGTCAAACATTTTGAAATACCTTATGTTTGCATCAATCGGGCAATATCTAATACTGTCCTTGCACTAGCACACACTACTGCCAGTGCAATGGAAAACTGATTCCAAAAGCAATCCAAAATGAGCAGAAATGCTAGTTTCCAAAAGGACAGATCAGCGGAGTGTGCATAAGGAAACACTGTTAACTAGTCCTGCTCTAGAAATGATAATTTCCGGCATTTTTAAAGAACTGCTCATTCCCCACTGGGCAAGGGGTAGACCCTACAAACATAACAGAGAAGGTAGAAACTAAGCGGTAGTGCTGAATACTGCTCACATGTGGCACCCCCATGTGGAAGGTACTAATGAAAGGAATTCTAAAGCTAACTCTTATTAATGCTGCAGGAATCTGCTTAATTCAATTTAAGCAAAAGGCATGCTTGCTGAACCCAAATGATGCAACTGAGAGGGATAAAATTCGGAGAATGCACTTACATTACACAAATTGGTAGTAGTGTGATAGATTATATAATGATCTCAGGTACCATGAATTCTAATGTGAAGAACTTTCAGGTAAGATTAAACTAGTTTAGAGATCATCAGTCCATGATTACTGAGTTGGAGTCCAGCTGAACGCACAGACAGGAGAGGCCTAAAGCTGGCCATAAACCTGAGTAAAAATATGTGAAGTACCAAGTGGTGACCCAGTATAGAAACTAGCTTACTGAACAACCTGCTTACTTTTTTGATACTATTAAGGCAGGACAGCAAAGAAAGAATATTGGTACTAGAAACAATTAATAATTTGATAAGTGGCATATCCTTAAAAAGAAGGTGTTAAAAATAAGCTATCTTCAATATAGAGAAGTGAAGGAATGAGTACTGCCAATGTCTTACTTTCGGCCATAAAAAGGTGTATTAACTCTGATTCTAAAAAAGAACCAATGAAAAAATTGGTCTCAGTGGATGGAGGCTTCAAGCATTAGAGACATCTGAAGTTTCAGGGGTTTTTAGAAAATGAGCAGAATTAATGGCTGCTGAGAATAAGCAAAAACCTGGAAAAGTCACCTTTACTCTATGTTAATGTTATAACAAAAAAGGGAAGTATTAGTATAACAGGAAGTTGAAGAATTGCCATCATGACAACTTATAACAGAGTTATAAATGATAAATCCTATGAAAGATCTGTAAATGGTAAAAGCACAAGGTCCTGATTTTATACCAGCAGAATTGCTGAAAAAGAACATGCAGTGATGGAAGGACACCTTTGGTATCCTTTTTTTACACATATACTGACCTGCAGAAGTATAGTTACCTCCAGCTTTGACTTTTCCACATTTGTTTTGTTAAAACTAACATCACTAATCAACCTTGCTTACAACCTAGCCATAATTTCATTTCAATTATTATATACAGCCTTCTGTGATAAATCAACTGAAAACAAATTATTTTAGCAATACAACAAAAGTAACAAAAAGCATTCTAAAGCTGTATCTACAAACAGCAAAATAAAGCATAGCAACACAGGCTCTAGGTCTGTCCAAGCATCATAGACATGGATTAATGAACAATTAATCTGGTTTTTAAACCAGGTATGTATGCCAGACCTATGGAATCCTCTTCCACAAACTAGTGGTTCTACCCTTTTCCACACCAAGAAATAGTGGTTTTAAATTAGCAACTAACCTGGATAAGCTGACATTAAATTAAACAATATCACATCTGAGCCAGAACACTGTAAAGAGATAGGAAAAAAACACTGAAACTGGAAGGAAGGGGAGGGAAAACAGATGAGCACACAAGCTAGGTGCTTGTTCTTGGCTTAACAAGCTATAGTTTATTCATTCATGTTGGTTACTTTTAAGCTGGTTTTCTAACAAAAAAAAAATACCAGCTAAAATAAAATGGTATTCAGAGCCTACTTAAAAGCAAGGAAAGGGAGGTAAGATGAGGATCACTTGGGAGATTATTCTACAGTTTAGGCATAACCCCTGAAACCCTCACTTTTGTCCCTACCAGCTGTTCTTCTGTGGCAAAATGACAATTGAGATTGAGCATTTTCACTTTAAAATAAGAAAATGAAATATTAAAATGAAGCAGTGAAATATGCAAACTTTGGAGATGAAGGAATAACTTTTTAATTGCTGATTTCTCTAATAGCCATACATGTATTTTCTTTTCAGCCGTGGTCAGCCATCCTAAGAGATTGTTATTGCTCTGCTCTTATTTTCTTAGTTCTTTTTGGGATGGATTCCTAATTCAGGAATTTCTAGAATTATTTATGTATTCTCTGGTACAGACAGTCATACAGAATTGAAAAAAAAGGATCGATACACAGGGTCAATTTGATTTAAATCGCAATTTAAAGCATTAATCAGTAAAACTAGATTTAAAGCATGGTTTTGCACGCATGCCTGCCTTACACATAAGTAGAGGAACTTCATTAAAATATTGCCAAACTGGGTCTCTTTAATGGCCTGCAGCCATTATAGGTTTTCTCCTCCAAGAAAAGAATAATATGAGAAACCTCAGGCAATACAAAAAAGATCTGAAGACTTGTAGAATATTCTGCTCAAAAGAGTTCTCTTTCATTTTTCATGCTTGCTATTCCCTCCTCATCCTTAGCTTCTTTTGCAGATCTATTCCACTCTCAACAATCTTCTATATTCAATGATTTTTTAAAAATTTACCACTTAAGAGGGAAGGAGTTGATTCTATGTACATAGATTTGCAAAGGAACATTGGCATTAAGGTCTTTTTCTCAACTCTTGGTGTTCACATTTTATAACATTTTTGCTGTGAAGAAGAGCATGTGATTTCTGCAGACACAAATTCATTTTTGAGAATTGCAAAACCAAGCATATGTAACAATAGCTTCTAGAAAGAAAAACTGCCCAATAACCTTACAGAAACTTCTAGAAGAGCATCACATTGTGAAAGGGTTATTGGAATTCATTTACCAAATAAATAAACAAACATTGCATGAATACATAGTCTCATGCTTCATATGTAAACACTAATCCTTATTTTATGATGAACAACCTTTGGATTATAATGTCTTAAATATAAAAGTACCTTTATATAGATTTTTCATCAAAACTCATTTCATTCGTTAAAAATCAATTTAAATAAAAATCCAATTTAAATTTTAAACATCTGATTTTTTTAAAATTTATGTTCTAAATTATTGATTTTTATCCACCTTGTGTTTACAACAAATTTATTTCCAGCCCTCTCACAAATATCTTGTCTATGTATTATTCAAAAATACAGCTTCAATTAACACTTTATTTTCAAACCTTAATTATAACTTAGCATCTACTCCCTTTCTGTATTATTCATTTATGTTTCTCCAAACCTCAGCTACATGTCCAGAACATTAAGGCTTTCTTGTTGTTCAGAAACATTACTTTATGAAATGAAAGCAGGTGAAATCTTAATAATCATTAGTAAATTCTTAAGCCCAGAAATGTAGCCAGCACAACCTACTTCTAATGAACCTTTGCATGCTTCATCCCAGTAAAGCAAAACACATGCAGTATAAACCAAACTAGTTTCAGTGTAGAATTTCAGTGTAGAATAGTACAAAAGGCAAAGAAAGCCTACGCACACACATATAGGGATGGAGCCCAATTTTGTAGCTTCTCCAAAGAGCTTTTGTAAATTCAAGACTGACTCCTCAGTCATCATTAATTATATAAGCAGAGTATGGTACTATCTGCAGTCTGTGCTTTTGATAACACCACATTTGTTTGAGTGGAATTTAGCAAGATAAACTGGACATTTCATACTTTGAGACCCTGGCATTCTTTCAACAGTATTCATTTGCATTCTCATTAGTATGCATGGGATTTTCATTGAACTTTAAGACTCCTACTGGCATATAACGCATTGTAATGAGCGTAAAAGTGAGCATGCAAATTAAAACTCCCATTAATCACTAAATGTTACCCATTAAAAAGAGACGTGCACACACAGAGACCAGAACAGGCAGGCAATAAAATGCTGCATGAAACACACAAACTCCTTAATCACCACGGTCACTGAAAATGACAGATGCCTTTTCATGAGGAGCAATGACATGTGCGAAAGAGAAAAATGACACATTCTATCACCAGATATAATCAGTGACCATTTACAATAAAAATGACAGAAAGGTTATCAGTAGCATGCATCCACCAGATAATGTTCCTGGCAAAATACATTGCTTTATTTCCTGAAAGGAAACCCTAGCAGAGTGAGCAAGTACTTTACCTATCTTGGCATTTTGGGGGATTCTTTCAAGTGTTCCTTGAAGCATCTCTTGTCACACTTTGGTTAGGACACAGGGCATTAATATTCTAACTTTTGATCTGCCATAAAGCAAACTACAAGGGGCCTTGGGAGATTTAAACATGCAGCTTAAACTTATTTCAAAGGGATGGTGAAAGTATTGGAAAGGACAAAAGATCTGTTTTTACCTGTGTCCAGGACTCTTAAAGTTGGGGCGGGGGAGTCCTTAAATAAAATCCCCATGGCTCACAGCATTGAACATGCTATTAAAACATACATAGATGGAATATAAAAGTAAAAATAGTCAATTAATAGAAGTGTCATGCTGAATTAAATCCTGATAAATCCAAGCAGAAAGATCCTCAGGAAAAATAACAGCTTCTGAGGATTTCTATAGTTGACTGTCAACTACCAAGAATACCTTTCTGTGGACCAGAGGCACAGAGATACCATTCTTTATTTGTATCCTTGCCTCATATTAACAGTCTTGATGGAAGAAAAGAGGAGAAGCACTACTAATAGTACTCTATTTTGGGATACATTGTACAAAATAAGCATACTAAATTTTCTCAAGCAGGCTATAGAAAGCGAGACACTGGAGCAGATTTCATGTTCCTGGTAGCTCATTCCGATAAAATGGTATAGCCAAGAACCCAGGGATGCGGGGGACCTTTGTCCACAGAGCCTCATCAACTGACCTCCACATTAACTCCCACCATCACCTGTATCCCTCCTTCCATTTGGCTTGGAAAAAATGTCTTCCATTAGTACCTAATGGGAGCTTTTTCAAGAATAAATTACAGGGTTGCTTTGTGGGTGGTGGGTGTATTGTTGGGAAGGAAAGGATTATCCTTATCTTTCCTGAACATTATCACTCCCCCCCAAATCACCCTACCCTACTAATTAGGCTAAGTACCATGTGGAGTAAGCTGTCCACTAAGAACCATTTGCAACTGCAGAGAATCTTCACTTGAGTGTGTGTTAAATTTAAGAATGCCATGTATTTGTATATATGAATCTGTGCATGCATTTTATGTGAGAGAAAATGTGTTTCTGTAATATCAATGTGAGAACTTCATCTCCTCATTCTAAACCTATGCAATCTTGTTTATGTTGGACAGAAGTAGAAAGATGACATCTCACAGGATCATAAGGGGAAACCTTGCAAAGCTGAGCAACCACCTCTGCTCTGCAGTGTGGTTAAAAGTACTGAGATATTGCTTTGAACTTTAAAGAGTGTTAAATAAATATTAATACTAAAACCTACTTCTTTCTCCTGTTACAGAAACAGCCCAAGATTAAGAGATATAGCATATGGTTTGCATTTTCTTCACCACCAAACTGCAGCTAACATGTGAACTGAAAATCCAGTTAATGTTGTTCTTTGCATTTAAGCACCTACATTTTTCTCTGCTCTATCTGTCATAAACAAGAATACACTGCACACCCTCTCTGCACAAATAATGGATGGGGAAACAAAGCAGCCTGAACATTTTCTCCTCATTCCCTGAAAGGAACTGTGCTTGAAGAGAGAAAAAGACTATTGCCTGTTCACAATGCTTTTTATTTTCCTTCTTTTCACAAACGTTTCCAATTCAGTGCCACTATAATCACAAAGAAAAATTGTTATGATAATTATAAGAATGAGCAAAATGTTGTGTTAGAAATGCAAATGCATCTAATCAAAGTGTGCCTTACCACACATGGTTTATTCTGTGCTGCAAAGGCAAATAAACAGCCTAGTTTGAAAATGCATCCTACTCTTTAGGAAGCGACCCAAAAAAGGGATTTAGCACTTTTGCTTTCTTGTCCATGCTTAATATTGTCAGGACCATATTCTCACTCTCAGAGGTTTTGCAAGTTGATTAGCAAATGTGTGTATTTCTGTACCAGATCTATTGACTTACTAACTAGTCCATTTTTTAAATTGTAGCAACTTTTCGGACCTTCAGAATCAATACTTCCAAAAGTGAATGTAATACTCCAGATGGACCAGTCCAAACTAGTGGGTCAAGATGTATTGGTGCCACAACAGCACAGAGCTGAACAAAGGAATGCAGGGAAAACAATCCCTGGACAAATGGGTAGCAAGCAGGAACAAAAAGTCCACTGTTTTAAGAATGCTTAAAGAAACAGGTATGCTTAGGTTTTATGTTGCATTTTTTTGTCTCTTCTGGGGGGCAATACAAGTTATCTTTTCACATATTTCCCCGGCTGCAACATTCAATGTATTACCTTCCCATTCTGTTGGAATGTTCCCTTCTTTGTACTGGTACTCCTTCATGCCTACATTTTCCATAAATCTTCTCTCCTTTATGATCTGTCCTATTTCAAAGGAGAAAAAAAGGTTAATAATTTAAGGATGATTCCAATCAACATTCACATGCACAGGTGAAAACAATAATTTTCTTCAATGGTATAGTTTAGCATTGACCCATGGAGCCAACTGAGTGAATTTAAGAGTTACAGGAGTCTCAGCCCAACCTACCTCACAGGGTTGTTGTTGTGGAGATAAGATGGAGACTAGAAGGACAATGATGTAAGCCTCTCTGAGTTCTTTGTAAGAACAAAAAGGTGGGATATCAATCAAACAAATAAATAACTATTGAGGCCTTAGGAAAATCATACTGTATTCTTCTTTCTCAACCTGGAGGACTAAACTATTATTATACCTGAGTCTTCCTCAATCACATGTAAAGAGAGGGCAACCCACTCAATCTTCTCCACCTGATCAACAGTTTATTTATTTATTCATTTATCTATCAAATTTGTATGCTGTTCGTTACTTTCATCTCCGGACGGCTTACAACATTTATCTCCCTGCAATCTAACCTGTCAGGTGCTTTTCTTTTCTGCCAAAGCCCAAATGGTGTAAGTAAGGGAGAAAGATATACAGGAGAGAGGGGCTGCAGGGAGCTTTGCAGCAAGGTTGACAGAGGTCAGCTCTATGCTATGTGTCCCCTCGCTCTACAAATCACATCCTGCGACAATGAGGAGTGTGACACACAGGTCCGTTTCAAAATATAACCAAGAAGGCTAATGCTGTCACCTCTAATTGATGTTCAATATCAGAAGGAACTCCAGCTCATAGAATTACAACTAAGAATACAGAATCAGATGAGTAAAATCACAAGGTTTCAGTTTGAAGAATGGTTTGAGCAGCCCATCAGAGTTCAATTCTATGATGGTTTATTTGGAAATAAATCCCAAATAAAATGCATACGTTTGCAGTCTGGTTTTTGTGACCCATTAATATCTCTGTCTTTTTATACATCAGTAAAAAGGGAAAGTGGAGAGGCATGCTATTTTGCTACTTTAAAAATTATTTCAAAAAATTGTGCTCTACATCACTGCTATCTTTTCATCATCTGCAGCACTTTAAGGAGCAGCACTTTAAAAATAATTACTAATCATTCCAACATTAGATTTAAGAGCAGAAAAGTATAAAACTTTTTTAGCTGACAATCAAGTATACCTAATTTTAAAAGCCAATCAGAAGTGCTTTACAAACTGGGTTTGTGCCACACAACAACCCATCAAGGGCAGCCAGCCATGCAGGGTTGTCGTATGGGTCAAAGCCAGCATGGTCCCACAGGGTGGCACAATTTTCACAAACAAAGCCACCCTGAAAACCTGTGACTTGTTGTGGAGTCGCTCATGCCCATGGTGAGTTTTGTCATGTTTTGTCATGGATTGCCAGAGCCACTTACAAGAATGGCACCCCCCCCCATGCCATGCCTTGTGATCTTACCAGAGCTGCCTCCAGCCTCCCTCACAAGTGACTGCCCTTCCAGGGATGCGGAAATGGCACTTTGGAAGGACTCTCAACCATTTGCTACTTTAAAAAATGTTCTTCAGTGCTTCAAGAAGGCTCAAGTGTGTCTTCGTCGTCGTCGTCGTCGTCATCATCATCATCCTGTTTTTCACAAATGTACAAGAGTACCTATTTGGCTATCTCCCATGTGCATTCTTGTTTGGTCAATTGCCATGTATGTTTCAGGCCTCAAAGGAAGCTCTAAAGAAAGAGCGGAGGAGTGTGTAATATACAGGGAACTGACAAGAGGCAGCTGGCAATAAGCTAATTTGCATACAGTTGCCAAGGTTTAGGCGAGAAATACTAAGAGAAAGAGGGGGCTCAGTAGCACAGTTTAAAAGCACTGAAAATGGGGAGGAGGCAAATGAGCTTCCCTTTGGCAATGGGATCCTCTTTTAAGTGCAGAATTGACACTATGCCGTGCCCTCCATCTTTTCATCAAATATTTGGCTACTCCAGAAGGAGGAAATTGTAATTCACCCTCCCTCATTTTTTACTCCTTTTCAGGTCAACCCAGCCAGTTACCCCAACAGTAAATGCCCCAAAAGGAGCAGTGAAAAATAAGAAGGAAAAAATCTCACTTGTCTAGATTACCTAGAGACATGGGGAAATGTTCACACACACACACACACACACACTTAAAATGAGGAGGGGTATTGCCCCCCTTTTAATGCACTTACTCCATTCACCCTTTTTCCCTTGTACACTTGCACTTGTTTGGTTTTTATGTAATTTTACTGTATTTGTTACCGATATTATTGTTTTAATTCTATGTTGTAAGCCATCTCGAGATGCCGAGGCAGGAGGGGACGGCATATAAAAGTTTTAAATAAATAAAATAAACAAATAAAAGACTGACAAAAAGTCATAATTAAAAATTAGAGAATTTTTGAAGCACTGAAGAAATGACAGGGAACAAAAAGGGAACAAAAGATAGGGCAAGGAGTCAAGACGGGTTCTCCCCCAAAGACATCTGGAATATGTGCTGGAGCTTGCTGGAGCACCGAGGGGGGAAGAGGAGGAGAACAAGGCACAGCATGCCCTATAAGTCCCATAAGACCTGTAAGTCATATCATTGTCTGTTCAGCAAACAAACAATCCACCATGGCTTATCCCAATGTGCAAACCCACCCACCATCTCATTCCTACCCTTACTCCCAAATACCCAGCATGTGTTTGGGGGAGGAAGTGGGATTATGCCAGCTGGCACCATCCCACATGTTTGGCACAACACATGAAGGCAGACCTACATGCACAATGTTCTTGGTTCACTGTCAGCAAGTTGTACTATTTGGCCTTAAGGAACACGGAGTAAAAGAAGCCAAACTCTGCTTTCCAGCTGATCTCCTACACTGTAAATGGTACGTAGTTTTTGCATTATGAATTTGTGCTATTTATAAAATATGCAATAATGTGTTGTGTTCAGGTACTACGCTGTTGAAATGTTACTCCTTTTTATATATATGAACTAAGGAAACTGCATTAAAGCTCCTGCAAGTGTACTGAAACAATATGCATCTATGTTCAGTCTAAAATTCTACACTTACAGTGCATTTGTATTTTAATATAAATTGCTTAAGGATTTTAATCTATTAAGCAGTATTCAAGTATTATAAATAATAAACTATTCATGCTACTGAAAACCAAACTAGATGCAGTCAAATGAACAGGGAAGCGGTAAGGTTATGATGATAATTTTTTTAAGAGTACTACAATCAAATGTAATCTAATTGCAAAAAATCAGATGAATATGTGAGCTGCATGTATTTAACACTTCCTAACAAGGTCTTAAGTCTTGCCTGGGATGCAGCCTGCCACTGACAGCAATGGGGAAAAAAGATTGTGCCCTTATAATTAGCAGGAATAGAAGGGATGTGCTGGGGCCACAAACGTATCAGCCACTGTTGCTGGGAGGTGGCCACGTTCAAGGAAGGACCACAGCTCTCGAGCATGGCACAGTCATCCTGTGACCATGCCAATTACTCTGTCGGCTTGTGAAAGTCAAGGAACAGTTTGCACTGGCTCAGCTTCTGTGCAGGTTCCTGCACCACTCAAGAAGCACTCTTGACCCAAGCTGGATGCTACCAAGCAGCAGAAGCCACTTTCAATACATGCATGGGCTCTGTCTTCCTCCCCTGCTGCTCAACATGTGGCAGGTAAGAATCACAGCGTGCACCAGCAGATGAACAGCAAAGAGCAAGTGGCACTGAAAAGACTAGCAGATACGTAGCAGATGCTTCCATAGAGGGCCAACCACTTAATTCATCAAATGAAGTGGACTTCAGTCCGTGAAAACATATGCATAATAAATTTGTCTATCCTAAATGTGCTACACAGCTCTTCTGTCTTTACATCATGTGAGCCACTGTTGCTCACACAGAATATTCTTTCTTACATGTTTATTTTACAAGTAACAATACATACTACAGAAATAAAACTGAAGAACGCATTAAGAACCTAAAGATAAATGCATCTCAGTCCTGCCTCCCACTGAATTGTCTGCTTTACTATCTAATACAAGATGTACTATCAGCATGGCCTAGATGAACCTTCCTCAGACGGAAAGCTGCCATGAATACATACATTTCTGTTAAAGCTTTTATAACCCAGTCCTTGGTAGCCAGAATGGGATGGGGCGATTCAGTATTTCCAAGTAGTACAATTAATATATTTTAGGGACACAAGCTATCACAATTTTTATTAATTTCTACAACACTTAACACCATTTAATACATTGTACAATTACTTCATTTACCCTGATGCATTTTTTTTTTCATTTACTCTGACAAAATCTTTCTGAAGAACATTGGAAGCACTGATCAGTAAAAACTTGAAGCCCAGAAGAGAATCTGAACTCAGATCCCAGCACACACTTCATCTATGGTAGTACAATGACATTACTACATAATTACTACTCTCACTATAGTCACTCAGAATAAAAGAAAAATCAAGCACTAGAAATGCAGGTTTACAAAAAGTGCAAAGGTCTTAATTGTTCATGTACAGAAAATTAAATCCCTTGTTCAAATGAAGATAGCAAGGAAATGGAAATAGGTATATAGAAAATAACTTGTTTAATTCTGGTTTAAATACAGTAATTAGCATGCTGCATTTTACAATGACATTTCAAACACATACAATTACAGGAAATAATCATTTGGATGTACTGCATGTTGAACATTTTCAAAAATACACCACAGACAATGAAGATGTGTGGTACCCTCTTAGCCTAGCCCTTCCTCTCTATATGTAAGTAACAGTCTTTCTTATGGAAGAACCTAAGGGAGCATCTGTTATACAGCTTTTCTTCTCATCCAGAATGTGTTCATTTTCTGGTTAACAAATCTACATTTAAGAGGGAACCACTATTACCATTAACAATGGCTTAAAATGAGAGGTGGGATTTTACTAGAGGGAAAGGGTTAAGGGAGACTGAATTTGAAACTTACTCTTATATCTGCACCACCCAAATGCATTCACCCCTAGACCCAACTGCACTGAATTTTGTGAT